AAATAAAAAATTAATAATTGGCATGCTCTACCAAAGTGCTTCGGCTGTCTGACATAACATGCCATTGTAGTACTGACATCTTTGCTTCTTTCTTTGGTGTTCGTGTGTTCAAATCTTAAGTTAAATTTAAGGTTAGTTACAATAAATACTCAATTAAATACTTTCCCGAATATTTTAGCGGTTGAATATGCATACAACATGAATTCAGGATTTGTTTCAGTCACAACTCAGAGTTGCCGCCTCCAGTGCCAGTAAGATTCTTGTGACTTGTGTGAGTGTGATATCTCCAGGCCCTATCTGGTCCCATCTCACTTTGATTACCCTGTCCAATAAGTCAGCCTTCGTCCCGGTCTTTTACTTCTAACTGATATCTTCATTAATTGATTGTGTTGCCTCTCATTTTGTGTTTATGCCCTCCCTCCTCTCTGCGACTATTTTTGTGATATTTTTTTTAAAGGGAAAGAAGGAAATTGTTCGATCCTTGTGTTGGGCGAATTTTTATCCAGTACCTTGATCTTTCTACTGGGACGTTGTATCCAGGCTGTGGAGCGTTGTATCCCGGTTGACCCTCAGGGTCAAGGCCCGCCTTCTAAATGATCTAAATTGTATCAAGGGGGGGGGGGTATATTATCTTATCTATCTTGTCTATTTTATTATTTTATCTTATCTTATCTTAGTCGGCCTACTGAACAGAGTCCAGGTTTTATAATATAATATTATATCTAATCTCATCTGATTTAATCTCAGTGAATGCTAAGTGGGCGGTCTTTGTGTGGTCCTTCTTTCCTATTAACCATCTATAGTCTTTATCTCTCCCTTCTTCTTTTCACTGTATGTTACTCTCCTGTAACACCTCTACACTAATTGTGTTGCTGAACTTATCTTATCCGATTCGGCCTACTGAACAGAGTCAGGTTAACGTTTATCTTATCTTATCGTATCTGATCTGATGTGATTCGACTTACGATCAGAGTAAGGTTAATGTATAATTTTATCTTATCTTATCTTATTCGATTCGACCTGGTGAACAGAGCCGGGTAAATGTATTACCTTATCTTATCTTATCTTATCTTATCTTATCTTATCTCATCTCATCTCATCTTATCTTATTTCATCTTATCTTATCTTATCTTATTCGATTCGGCCTACGAACAGAATCATGTTAATGCTCAATCTTATCTTATCTTGTCTAATTCGATTCGACCTTCTGAACAGAGTCGGTTTAATGTATTATCTTTTCTTATCTCATCTTATCTTAGCTTATTTCATCTTATCTTATCGTATCTTATCTTATATTATCATTAACAGAGTCTTGCGTACGACGTGGTGATCACCGCCCGCAATCCCATGGATTCCACCACCGTCACCAAATCGGTCGAAATTCAGGAGATGGTGTCAGGCTTCCTGGTGGTAGATGGGAACTCGCAGGTCAAGGCTAACGAAGTGAAGCTGCTCAACGCAAGCTTCACAGCTGTGGGCACAAAGACCTGTGTGTACGTGGATTTTGGAGACGGCGTCAAGAGGATTTATTCAGACTTCTTGCCGACTTGCACCCATATTGCCAGTTTCTCGTAAGTGTAGTTATGATTTGTATGGTGGATGGTTTAGCATTCTCGTTCGATTAAAACTGGAACCTGGCAGGGGGCCACTGCTACTTCTTTTTGTTCTTCTTCTTCTTCTTCTTCTTCTTCTTCTTCTTCTTCTTCTTCTTCTTCTTCCCACTATATTTCAACTTATGGCAACTCACACGAGCTCTTGCTGTATCCTCCCCCCACCCCCTCCCCCCACAACAGCTCAGTCGCTATTGGAGATAAACTACCTCTGTCCAGTGTGTACACAATGCAGCATGTCTACACCACCGATGGCTTCTACACGGTTAGCGCAACTGCTCAGAACGATCACTCTAGTGAGACACTGACTGTGTCTTTCAGCATCACAGCCCTGGACTGTGGGAAGCCGGCCGTCGACATACATAACAGGTTGGTTTGAGCAGACGGAAACGTAAAGTTTCGAGAGACGGAGATTTGTCGCATTTTATATTTTAAAAATCATGAGGAAAAGTAAAAAACCCCAACTAGTCTCAGTTATTGTGGAAACATACAATAAAGACAAATTAACAGAAAATGCTGTGCAAAGTATGGATGACATGAGGATAAGTTGCACCACGAATTTTGACCTCACAATAGTACTTATGAGAGGAGAACAAATAGAGAAGTGCTCCAAATAGCAAGTTTTGAAAGATTTATAATCGGAACCGTCAGAAAAAGACTGTTAAGATTCTTTGGACACATATATCTTACTTAGATCAAACGGATTAGCGAATCTGTTGCTGTGTGAAAAGACAGAGGAAAAGAAGAGCAGAGGAAGACTAAGAACAACATAATATTATACTGTTGCAACAAATGAGAAAAACCGAGCTGATCGAGAAGATAGATAACAGGAAGGAGTGGGGTACCACGGTCATCAATGTCTGCTCCAGACCTGACACATGAAGAAGAAGAAGAAATAGGCAAACTAGGAGGGTTACTGTGTCGAAAATTATAACTTTTACTAGTTCTTGTTCTTTGACAGCTTATCGATACGCAGGGGCGTCGGTAGTCTAGTGTTTAGGCTACTGGACCCTTGATAGAGATTTCGGGTTTTGATCTTCGAACCTCAGCTCAGTTCGACACTTTGTCCTTGGGAAAGGCACTTAACGCAAATTTCCTATTTGGCTTAGTAATTTCGGAGATGAACATTAATCTAGGAGGCCCTTCGTCTTTCATAACCGTATAGTGTTGATAGGGGCGTTATACCGATACCATTTCACCATTTTTAGCCATCGATATGCAGTATGCATGATACATTGTTGCACACGTATTGCTTTCGCGCCTTCAGATCTTGACTTCTTTCTAATATTCTCCAAAGGAGAGGCATGGTTAATATATTTGAAATCAAGAGAGGTGTAGGGTGTGTCTTACTGCTTGCCGGTATGAAAGAAACATTTTTTTCTTTATGACAGAACGTTTTTGAATGTTTAAAATTTGAATTTTGCCCAGATGGCGACCCGGCGGTCTTGGCTTATCCAAAAGGGTTTGGTGCTCGATCTTACAAAGAGAGTAATATATATATAGAAAAGGAGGAGAGATAAGGACTATAGCTGTTTGGTAGGATAGAAGGAGCAAACCATATCACTAGGTCCCTCTACCCACTCAGACAGATATAGAAATTCATTCGTACCAACTGCAGAGATTATTATTATTATTATTATTATTA